AACAATATATTACAACTATTAGACTCTATAAATACGAAAGCTATTAAAACCTGTGCCTTATGTGATCTTTTTCAAGTCTTTGTGTAATGTTATTTTAAAATTGTCTCAAAGCTTGTAACCTAACCCCCTGGCAAATGTTTTACTGTACTCTATTTTACATTGTTCTTCATTTTGATTCTAATAAAAAAAAAAATAGACAGCGACATGACGTCATTACGTCTACGTACGTAAACGCGTAACGTCGCACCGGAGGTGGCACGTAAGGTTACCGAATAAACATCTGAGGAAAAGAAAAGGAGACGATTGTTCAGCGAATTTAGAGCTGCGGGTTTGACCCGTCGCTACTTGGACTGCTTGTGGGCTAACAGCGGGGCGGATGTTGCCGGAGGCCCCCCGGAGGAAGGACCTTTTCGGCGCTGAGTTTAGCAGGGAGCGGTGGGGAGGGCTGTAGCCGCTGCTGCGAGGCGTCTTTTGGCGAAACAACATGGCTGCGGCGGAGCTCGAATGGATCCCAGAAACGCTGTATAACACCGCTATCTCAGCGGTGGTGGACAACTACAGCCGAGCCAGAAGAGACATACGGTCTCTGCCAGAAAATATCCAGTTCGATGTCTACTATAAGGTAGGTTTTCACGGCTCAGGTGCTCCGGTCTCACAGCCACCATCCGGTCAGCGCTGCTAGCATTAGCAGCTAACACACTGTAAAATAAAGTGTTTTAAAAAGAGAAAAGATAACACACGTCGCTGTTAGGTTTTTAGCATGCAAGAAGAAAACTGGGAGATCAACTCTTTTAAAGATAATTTATTGTATTCAGATCCATAAGAGATTCTTAATTGTTACTATTGAGAATAGAAACATGTTTGTTAGGTTTGTTATGTTTTCAAGTAACACTGTGTGAAGAGTCTAACCTGTCAGGGCAGTGTGGAAGTCAGCCAGTTGATCCAGTCGGGTCCAGTGGGTTTACACGGGAACAATAATGGCTGTGCGCCTTGAATCCTCCGTAGTTTTCACTCAGACAGGATTGCCAGATAGGAAATTAATTATCGCACTGTCACTTTAAGTTTATTGAATTTTGACCCAAATTATTGTTATTATAAGTGCTGATATGCAGAATGAAGATGTTTTTTTCTTGGAGGAGGAGGATGTTGCCAGGTCTGAACTGTGCTAAAAATTAGGGATGCACCGATATGAAAAGTTCAGCCGATATCGATATCCGATATAATTGTTGCTGTTATGGCCGATAACAGATATTTACTGGTATTACACAAATACACAGATTATGTTATACATATACACACAAACACACTTGGGTCTTATTTTGATATGGTAAATAAACGAGCAGACCTCTGACATGGCTCTGTACTTCAGTTATTCCTGGCTGCAGCATCAATATCACCATCATGATCAAACAGATGCTGCTCAAACAACCATCTCCCAAAACAGAAACACAAAGATAAAAAGTGGAAATCAATATTGGAGGTTAATATCTGCCCAGTTTTACATATCAGACCTAGGGCTGCAGCTAACGATTTATTTTAGTAATCGATTAATCTATCGATTTATTCTGACGATTAATCGAGTAATCGGATAATAAAAAATTGTCATGTTCTGCAGTAATTAATTAAGCTTATTTTATGAGAAATATAATTATTTAATATTGTGAAGGGGTAATCTACACCTGCTGATGACCCTGCTGCAGTCAAAGTAAAATGACACCAGTTGTATTAATTAATGCTTTTTAAACTTGAGTTGTTTGTATTTATGTGTGTGTGGTTTGAGGAGGCATTAATTAAAAACACTCTGTCACTGAATCATTTTTAACCATCACTGAAAAATCTAAATGCTGTAAATTAAACGGTTGAGTTTTGTAGAGTTCACTTGTTAATTGTAACAAAACATTATTTTAAGACTGTTATTAGGTTGTTGCAGGGCTCCCATTTAGGC